TTCAGAATTTCTCCTGAAGAAGGCTAAAGACAGTAGATTTTCAATTTATTTATCCTTCATTTCATCCAAAATATTTTCACACAAATTCCCTGTACTTCTCTTACTTCCTTTTATAGAATATTCTTGAACAATATGAGATAAACACAACTGATTGTAGAGGAATAGGCCCTGAACTCATCATCATGGCCATTTAAGATGTATCTAGTACAGTTTTAAACATAGTTTTGGTTTTTACCACTATGATATTCATGGTGTTTCAAAAAATAAATGACTACACCAGGCCCGACTGAGAACTATGTTAGTTCAGCTTCTTGTTTGACGGTCACCTGCTCACTTCTGTGCTGACAGACACTGCCCCTCTCTGGGCTATTCTAACAGCCCCAAACCAGCCTCAATCTTATGAGCAACTAAAGTTGTGACTTCTCTCGGGAGGGTCAAAACATGGCCAGTGAATAGATATCAGTGCTGTACTTAAAGCAGGGGTTGACCCAAGGCAAGCCTCCTTATTTGTAATTTGCTGAATAATTCATTAAATTTTTTAGGTAGAGAGGGCAGAACCAACCTAACCTCCCTCTTTCCTCCCCAGCCTCCTCCCACCCACTGAATAACCCTGACCCACACTAAATCCTATCTAAAGGAACATACCTGGAGCCTGTCCAGCCTAGCAAGAGCGGCCTGCCCAGTAGAGACCTGAGCAAACCAGTTTCACAGGAGAATTCAATAGCCTTCTATGATCACAGCCAAGAGGCAGGGGTGGAGCAGCCCCTCCTATCACAGCAGCTAAGTAGGAGGAAAGGTCAAAAAGAGAAGTGGGGAGTAAACACAGGAGGAAAGGAACCCCTAAAAAAGTGTGCTCCTCTTGGAATTATGGTGATGGCACATGGGTGAAGTGGTGGTGGGAAGTCCACAGGGATTACAACTGAGATGAAAAAATGTACAAAGTGAAGAACAATCTTAAAAAGTTATATAAAATACTCTTAAATAGAAAAAAAAAAAGTGTGCTCCTGCTTAAAATTTGGGATTGAAGGGTAGTGTGTGAGAAGAAAGGAGTTTTCCTCTAGCACCTTCGAACTGCTTCTCCCCATTTCTGCCTGTCCACATTGATCAGGGAGGAATTTCTTGGTTCTCAAGGATTCCGAGAAGCAAGATTTGGCATACAGTAGGTATCTTAATAGTTTCTGAATGACTAAATCAATGCATAGATGGACAGATCTGTTGTCACTCTTTTGTCTCTCTTTGTCTTTGATGAACCACAAAAGGAAAGGGAGATGCTTCACAAGAGGGCAGGCCAAGATAAGAACTTCTTGCAGGCTCAGCTGTGGCCCAGAGTCCCCAGGCAGGACCATCCAGGGAGAGTCTTAATGGCTCACATCACAGAGGTATTTCCTTCCTTCAAGGAGCAGTCACTGGACCCTTCTTAAAGGCGCAGGACCATGTAGATGTTAGGCCCTGACTTTTGAGATCTTTCTGAAGAGAAAGCATTAGCCCGTATAGAACAATATGAGCCACATATATACACACACATATATAAACATATATATATATATATAAACAAGTAGTTTTAAATAATATAAGGAGAACTATAATTGCAACTAGAGTTCAAAGAAAGAGATGAGTAAGGCTGGAATAGTCTATAAAGCTTTGTTGAAGTGGGATTTGACCTTAATACTGAGAACAGGCAAATGTTCATTCACTTGGAGGAAAGTTGGATTTATTTTCTGTACTCTGATCCCAACTGAGGTATCACAGCACTGTTTTAAGATGCATGCCCAAGCCCCTTTCCAATTTTCCCCCCATAATCTACATGGCAGGCCAGATTCCCGTCACCTTAAGAACAGAGGGGGGATTCACAAAGAGCAGAGCAATCTGAGAGCTGATGAGGGTAACAGGTTTGAATCTGAAGGTTCTTATTGCTGCCAGGCTGTAACTTAGACGTATAAATTGACTGCTTCAAATGTTCCATCAGCAGAATCCGCTGGGGACTGCTAATCCTAAGTGATTACAAAGAAAAAAATGACAACACGGTATCGTTTAACTGCTGAACCTTACAATGAAACACAAAGCAGCATTAAAGTTCTCTGCCTGTAATGCCACGGTTTAAGCAGTTAATCTTATTTTAGCTGAATGGCATGTTCATTACAGCAAATGGGTAGGTAAGATGTGGGATTATTGAAAGATAGATTAAACCAGTTATGGGCATCATGTGGATTTTTTAACTGTCTGATCATGGTATTTTTCAACAATCAGATCTAAACACACTCATTTAGCAGCGATTAAACAGGTGGGACACTTGCCCAGGAAAAGTATTATGTATGATTTAAGATGCTAGTTTTAAGGGCAGCAATTCATGACACTCCACACTGGCTCCAGCCTGAAATCTTCAGTGCTTAAACTGGAGGGTTCCTGAATTATCGATAAGATAGCACTTCTCTCTTTCCATTAGCTATGCTTTCACTTTTAAGCTTTTCATGGGCAGATGAAGGGCCTTTCTTCAAGGTCTCAAAACATCCTTCATGTGGGCCTGTTCCAAAGATATCTTCCAATACAATGTGATATAGTTCAGGAATGTATTTTCTTACCTCAGATACATGTATTTTCCTCAGGTTAAGTATCGCTCTGACTTAAAACCAATTACTGAACTAGGGGGAGAAGTAGAAAAAGAGAAAGAAATAGTCCAGGAACTGGAGAAGACTCCAACCTAATCAAAGGAGGAGGGACAGGAAACACAAACAGAAGGAACCTATGAAACTATGTGAGAGGGTGTGTCATCAAGTGCCAGACTGCACAGTGCTATTTGTGGAGTGCAGGCCACAGGAAAAAGACTAGTACTGACTGAGCAGTATGAGATAATAGGCACTGGGCACTGCACTGGAGAGTTTTCAAAAGATTGATCTCATTTAATTTGCACGATAATCTTGTGAGGCCGTTGTTACCATTTCACAGGTATGGAGATGCTATTTCAGAGAAGTAAACTGCTTATCCAAATAAGGTAAGCACAGGAGCATAAACCAAGTTTTGAGTCTAAAGTACTTACTTTTTACTTTCTATCAAGTAGCTTTCCTAAGAAATAGGAAGAGTCAAGAGCAAAAGAAAAGCAAATAAGATGTCTGAAAAGCAGCGGAATTGGATCTGAGTCCGAATGTACCTTCCATCCAACTTAAAAACAAAATCTTTAACAGTGTGTACCTACTTGACAGTTCTACTACCTGAAGAAATAACCTTCCCAGTGAAACTTAAAACACTATCTCAAGCTCTCCCTGGTGGCACAATGGGGGTAAAGCACTACATTATGACGCTCTCTGCAGCCAAAGCAGCATGAGTTCGATCCCCTGCCAGGGAGCTGACCCACATGGTGTGGCAGACCTCTCCTGACCCACCCACTGCTCCCCTCAGCAGTGTATTTCAGTCCATCTGCCTGTTCTGTTCCCCACTCTGTCTCTGGGGAATCTTCTCACCCACTACACCTCTGGTCTGTACCCCAGTTCTGTAAGCATAATTAAATATATCTTTCAAACAAACAAAAAACACTATCTCTTTTAACTCCAAGAACTCCCCTCTTGACTTTTGTGTCATTGTTGTTTTCGCTAATATATAAAATTTGTCATCAGAAACTCAATAAGCCCAGAGGCAAAGAAGTGACATTTTTGGAGTGGAAAACAGACTTCACCACAACTTTATCAAACCACCAGCATGTCTGGTCTTGGTGAAGCTAAGTAGGACTAAGGATAAATGGTGGCTCTCTGGAGATCAGAGTCAATAGTAAGGTTTATAGGTGCAAAGAGCTGGGGTGAATTTGAGAGCCAGAGTGGTAAGGGCATCTGCTTGAAATCAGACCATCCATAGTCATGAACTTCAGTCCCCAAGTGCGTTCCAGATTCAGCCCAAGCCAGACACTGCATCCTCTCAATCACTCTCATGCACCCATCTGGGTGTTTCAAAGACACAGAACAAGGGATGCAGACTTAGTGGCTATACCCAAAATATGAAAGGTTTCCCTGTGGTTCCCTTAGTTGTGACATTAGGAGACAGGGGAAATAGTGAACAAAAGAATCTCCTGATGCAGAGGATATATGATATGCTGGAGTCAAAGCAGCTAAGAGGTCATTTCATGGTGTTCCTATTTGAGATGTTAGGTTGGAACAAGAAGTAAGTCCTGAGGGGTGATGGAAAGTGTGCTAAGCAGTGTAATGTCAAACAGCTTTAACACTTTCATAATATCCAGTTTTTCTCAACACCCTCAAGTAAATAAACAATCTAATAATAAAGTAATTTTGCTATACACTATGGCTTCAAGACAAATAACCCTGACTCCCCTGTTCCATACGGATTACCACCCCAAGGTTCCTTCTACATAAAAATTCAGGAATCATAATCTGGATGTAGGCATAAGAGGAGAAAGGATTCATTCTGGAGATTTTACCTGTTCATTCAGCCTCTATATCTGTATGCTAGCTGTTTGCTCATACCACAGCTATTAATTCTCCAAGTCAATTGGAGAAAGACAATGAGAGAAAACATGAGTGTTGGGGGGAAATGTTAGATTTTGATTGGTAAGAGTTCCTACCAGTTTACCTAGCTTGTTTTTATTTTAACAATTAATTGCTGGTGATATCCAGTATTTATTTAATGTCACATTTTTTGGTCAGGAATGTAACCCCAACTACAATGTTATTCTGAGAAAACATTTCACATACTAAAAGGTATATTGCAGTAAAAAATAGACCCCATCCAAAAAATATTAGTAAATCCTGGGCCCATCTGAAATAACACCAAATAAACCCTCATATTACTCATTACTTTGAGTAATCTGAATATCTGATGCTATTTCTACCTCCCAAGTCCAACAAAAAATAATCCAAACATTCATTTTTTTTTACAATAAAATTATTAGATGGTACTTTTAAAGAAGGATTTAAATTCAATACCCAAAAAACTGAAATATGTTAAATTACATCAGAAATTTTTAAATCCATTTAAAAATGATAGCACTTCAATTTCCATAAGCAACTTCCTTTATTTCAAAGTGTCAAAAACCCTAACAATGTTCTTGTACACATACATATGCTATGTGTCTCAGAGTTGAGAACTACACAAAGAATTTTTCAACATGGTTAAAAAAAGAAATACTTATACATTTTAATGCTTGATGTTTATTTTTGAAGTCTATTTCTGACGCTATTTCTAATGAGCAATGATTCAACCAGAAAAATAGTAATGGTTGCCATTTTTTTTTAAAGTGCTTATTAGCAACCATATGCAAAAAGCAGTGGTTTTCAGAAATACATGATATTGAAAGGTACACAGAGTCACTAACAGAACTCCAGATGTCATTCTGTAATGTTGCACATGTAAACTGGCTTCATCTGCATTAACAAAAGATTGCTTTCAATGGCCCTCAACCACACGCTTCAAATCAAGACAGTGCTACCAGTATCAGCAGCATGAACTGTGTGACAGCGAACAAACCCCAGCACAATTTAAATGGATCAGAGCAGACTTAAAAGACCATACAGCCTGATATGTCACACATCCAAGGATGAGCCTCACTTTCACTCAGCATATATGGTAAACATTAAAAAAAAAAATGAAAACACTTTCTATCTCTCCATAGAGTATTTTACAGTATATGAAGAGATTCAAATTGTCATACCAGTTAACCAAACTCTTGTTTCTATATACAGCAGCCTTCATATTCTCAATGTATAAAACAAAGCCTGTTTTCACCAAGAAAGGAAGAAGGAATTAATAAATGAAATTCTCAACACTAAAAACCTGAGGAATAAAACTGTCGACAATTCTGAAATGAAGCTTTTTTTAAAAAAAGTTAATGATGTTCCAAAATAGAATATTATGGTTTGAGAGTGAAATATCTGACTTAAATGCAATCAGATCATTTTCATCAGATTTCAATTTTTTTTTTGGGAAAAAACAAGCTTCATCCAACCTAAATGATTTTACATTAGAGTCTTTTTTCTGACTGATGGCCCTGACATGAACCTTTCAACCATCATATAATGAGCATCCATCTAGTCCTCTATTTTCCGAATCTTAAGCTTTTCCTACTCCTTTCTCTCCTTTCCAAAAATGTCCATTAGCCCAAAGGCAAATCTCCATTAAAAAAAAAAATCACAATTTAAGTACAGTGTGATAATGTTACATTTGATTTAAAGTAGCAATAAATTATAAATTGTCAAATAACTTAATGTAATTCACAATGCAAATCCCTGGTATAAAAAGAATCCATCTTGCCCTAAATATAATAAAGCAGTCCAGTGATTTCAAATTACTTATGAAATAAAGGCAAAAATAAGGTGTAAACTACTATTTATAAAAGTCAAGTAAGAAACCAGTTACCATAAATCTTTTTACAAATGTACCTTACCACTTCTAAAAATTGTTAGAGAGGATTTTATTTAGTGCTTTCAAAAATGACTGTAAGGAAACTAGAGAGTAAATATTATTTGTAATGTATGACATATTAAATGTACATGTAAGAGTAATACTGCAATGGTGAATAACTTAAATTAATCTTTGGACCTGCTATTTTTTGGCAAGTATATGTCTTTTTCAAAGTCTTTGCTATAACCACTTAATTTTTAAATAATGGTTTTCAAAAACTTTGCTACTCAAGATGTTACATTAATAAGGAAATACCAGATGTCTCAAATAGTAACACACCTACAAAAAAAAAAGCCTACACAAAAGATGGTCTTTCATCTTTTGTTATTATAACAAATACTTTTAAAAATGACAACATTGCTATGCCTACAAATTAAAAACACTCAAGCTCTTAAAAAAGGGGGCAGAAAAGGAAAGAGAAATTGAAAATTCTTATTTAAAAATAAATCTGAAGTCCTTCCATTTCTTCAGAAGTTGATTTGTCAAAACACAGTTTATCTTCTTTTGGACCAAGCTGTGTCTTCCACCATTCATGGGATATGATGTAAACTCGCCATTATGGTTTCAGTTTGAATTTTCTTGTAGATTTGCAAAGCTGGTACTGGACTTAATACGTTTGGCTAGATAAAACAAAAAAATGGTATATTTTCACTTAAAGTTAATACTCTAAACATGATTATTCATTTTTATATAAATTATAGTGTTCATCTATTGAGTCTATGCTTGAATCTGAGTAGATTTGATTTTCTAAAATTTAAAACTTAAGTTCATTTTTTCCTACCAACCTCAAAAAATACAACGTAGCTAGAAGCTGCACATGACCTTCTTAGAAACAGTACCAAATAAAACAGACACAATTTATATTATCCTGAACATTACAATCTTAAAAAATACTCAACTTAAAAAATGGAAGTATTATAAGGTATAATAATAAACTTATATGTTTTAAAGTCTCAGTTAAGAATCCAAAAATAAATTTCTCTTAAAATAATTCAGTGACAGAGAATTAAAAAGATGTGGTATATATACACAATGGAATATTACTCAGCAACAAAAAAAAATAAACACATGCCTTTTGCAGCAATATGGATGGAGCTGGAAAAGATTATGCTTAGTGAAATAAGCCAGAAAGAAAAAAAAAATTCCGGATGGTTTCACTTATAGCAGGAGTTTAACGGACCAGGCAAGAAAATAACAATAATAATTAACAGTTATATATCAATATAACATATTATATATTATATAATATATTATATATCAATATAACAATAATAATTAACAGTTATATATCAGTTATGGGGGTGGAGTGGGGAATGGAATCAAAAACAGTGGGGAGAGGGAAGTGCACTGGACTATGGTGATGGCATATGGGTGATTTGGTGTTGGGAAGCCCAAGGGGATTGCAACTGAGATGGAAAAAGGCACAAAATGATGCAAAAATCAACTATTATAAAAAAAATTTCAATGAAAGAATTCTGCAATATTAAAAAAAAATTTCTAATGGCTTGCAATGAGAAGTGAGTTGTATAGTACTTGCACTGGCATGACCTAACAAACATGGTTGCTAATAAAATGTTACTATCAACTTTTATTGTGATGGGAATGAAAAGAGACATTAGGGTTAATTTTTTTTAAAGATTTATTTATTTATTCATACAGAACTGGGGTACAGGTCAGAGGTGCAGGGGCAGTGAGAGGATTCACCAGAGACACAGTGGGGAGCAGAATAGGCTGATAGATGAAGTACACTGCTGAGGGGAGCAGCAGGCATGACAGGAGAGGGCTACTGCCCATGTGGGTCACCTCTGGGGTGGGGATGAAACTCACACTGAAGCGGCTATGGCTAGCTTGCAGTGCTGCATCCTAACCTGCTGTACCACCAGGGAGGGCCTGACAACATGACTTTCTAAACCCATGTATTATGTCAGCTTAAACTAATGAGCAACTTAAACTGAAAAACAACCTAAGCTAGAAATCTACTTCTAAAACTTTCAGTGGGTTTGAAAGGCAGATGAAACCAATAGATTTTTTTCCTTTGCTACTGTTTAAAATTACAAGAAATAATCTAACTTGTTACTTACTAATTTATTAAATTAACTATGTACAGTGAGTACATATCTGTAACTTCCTTATCTCTATTAGATAAATCACAACACCCTTCACAATTCTACCCCAGGGATCACCTAGTGATGAATCCCAATACGCCCAATGCAGTCATTCTTATCCTCCTTGTGCTCCAACCACAATAAATCTCTACTACACCTCTTGTAATTGGATTATGGCCTGTGTATTGTGCATAAAGGCATGCATTGTGCCTGTTCATTTATTAAAGCATGATGAAGAATTTTACAGGACTGGCATTTTTTTTTTTTTAAGATTTATTTATTTATTCATACAGAACTGGGGTACAGGCCAGAGATGCGGAGGGTGAGAGGATTCACCACACACAGAGCGGG